CCAGTTGTGTTAAGTTTCTTATCATTATTTTATTTACCTCTTCCCATTTCTCTTTTCCAGTTGTGTTAAGTTTCTTATCATTATTTTATTTACCTCTTCCCATTTCTCTTTCCCTGCTTTATTCAGTCTTTCCAGGACTGCTTTCTTCTTTTCATCAAGTTGTTTACGTAACATAGCAGCTCGCTCTTCTGCTTGCATCTATTTTTAATAGGAAAAATTGAGTACATATACCAAGCATATTTATTTATATAATAATTATATATAATTTCATGTCAACCTAATTTGGTAATACCATAATGGGTAATATTTTACAATTATTTTACCTTCAAAGCAGCTATCTTTTTCCTTCTTGCTTCAGGATCATATCTTGGATCTCCAGAAACATCATCTTTCTAGTACAATACAATAATATTCATTTTAGGATTTATCAGGATTAAGGATTTATCAGGTACAGTGCTCACCTTGGGGRCTTCTGCAGGGCCCCTTACACCAGCCATTCGCTTTTGTATTTCACGACGTTCGGCRTAATTTTGTCTGCGAATAGCTTCCAGTCTTGAAAGATAATCCTAATAAAAAACACATTGCAATTTTTTATCACTTTTAGTAATTATCTAATAAATCTTTAAAACATAATATAACTTATTTAATATCTAACATATTCCACATCACATGATAATCAAGACTCACAATTTAGTAAATTAAATCATAATTTATTATACTTATATCAAATGATATTTTAATTCTGACTGATAATAAATGATTAATTGTACTGAAACAATCTCAAAAATAGCATTATTATTAATATTAAATGACAACAGCTGCAATTTATACTAAATTGATCATATTTCATATTATTTAGGAAACTCAATTTTGCAATCAATAAAAATAAAACTTCTCTGGATAAAGGAGACATCTGACTGTAAAGAAATACAAAACATTGAAAAAAATGTTTGTGATTTACCTCTTCCTGATGGTTGCGGCCCATATTTCCTGCTTGTGCATTATAACCTAATAAAACATGTACATTTTTGGTAATAAAAAATAATATCAACACACGTAGAAGGAACAAAACTGAATATTTATAATATCAATGATGACTTCACAAAACAAATTAAAAAATATAAATAATAAATTAAGTAGGTATTTATTAAGTAAACATTAAATAAATACCTTTAGGTTGTATTGGAGGTTTATACTCCTGAAAAAATCATACAAATATTCAATAGACAAGTGCAAACATTAAAACCATGATTGAAATAGTTTTTAATTAATATAGTGTTTTAATAAAATAATCATTTTGTTTATAAGTGCATTCACTCTACTGATTTGATGACTGCTAGATAATTACTAAACACTTAATTCCATTTTTTCCATTGTTTGTATGACTAAACAAATGAATGCTAACTTTTAGTTTCTGTAACACCACTTACATATCCTCCATAATCTGCCTGGCCACGCTTCTTATTCATGGCAGCAGCTCTTTTCCTACTCCAGAATTCTTCTTTGATACGTGCCCTCTCTGCAGCCTCAGCACCATAACCTCTGTTGATTTGACCTTGTCTTGCTGCTTCTAAGGCAGGGTTGACATTGGAATTAGCAGAAGCAGGTCTGRCAGGYTTAGGYGCTGGYTCTGGGATGTTTTCTTTCTGCTCWACGGCAGACAAAGGTCTTTTGTACTTGTGCATCGGTTGAGGATCTTTATTCTGCAGGTAATATTGAAAGTTTTCAATAGGATTTTGAAACAGGTGAGAAAAAGATCTACCAATATATATTAATGATAAATTGTCGCAAATTCATTGAATTGTTAAAAAGGTTTTGTCCTCATTCCAGGTTTATTATATTTYAATTTTCATTGCTGATGGTACTTACCACAACAGCTTGTTGGTTTGCAGCAGCATTACCTTTCTATTATGTAAAAAAATACATAAAATTATAAAGATAATCTTTCACAAACTGGAAACTGGTTACTATTTATAATATTCCTGGAACTGGAACATCCAGTTTCTTGTTGTTGGGTTCAAACAACAGAACAGAACAAGAAAATTACTGGCACAAGTTTGACAAAATTCCATTTGTCAAGATTTTTGTATTACCAGGGATATGATGCCATGAGCTAAGTGCTTGAATTCATTATAAATTTTATTATATTGTTTACTAGAAAGTTCAGTAAACCTACATCAGGCGAGAGTCCAACACTCATGGTGTTCTTCCAAGCTTGCTCCCTGGCTTTGTTGATATGCTCTCTTTGTTGTCTTTCCCAACGCTGTTGCTGCACTTTCTTCATGTAATCATTGTATTGCTGATCCTACAAGGACATACGGATACACATGATCCTTAACGTCATTTCTTTATTATGGCTCTCACTGTTATTATTCATATTTGCAGCTCCGTCCATTAATTGCCTAATATCAACACTACTTCAATCTGCATTTTGAGAACATTCAGACACATAACAAATTCAGCTTCACAAAATAGAGGTACAAAGTGTAGGAGAGAACTGACAGCATACATTTAAATGTGGGAGTCACTGCAACTTTCATTGTAATACAGAGTATTTCATTCTGACTTCTAATCATTTAAAGCACACTTCTATCAGCACTATATTACAAAAACCTTTTAAGATACTTAATCAAAAATTTAAATTGTTTTTTTCACCTGTTGATTAATAAGTTCTCTTCTCCTYCTCTCTCGTGCATCAACCTCCACTTTCTTATCAGCTGGTTTTGACTGTATGAAACATAATATTCAAAATGYCTTTTTCATTATTTGCAGGTAAAGAGAGAAACACAAAATTACAAAAAGTTCAACATGTTGTGCAACTTTCTTGCTCTTCATTTTATTAGTTCTTTCTTGTCTTTTCTAGACTAAACATTGAAAATAAACTAAAGCAGCAACAAGAGGCACAATATGTTGAGCACAAAAAGCGGAAATCAGGCAAATTAAATCACTTATGGTCTTCTTACATTTGCTGCAACAGGTTTGGCAGGCTTTTTGGCAACTTCACCACCTGAACGTGGCTTTCTATTATAATGATGAAAAAAGCAATGTAAAACTTAACTCAAGAAAATTACATCGAACTAAGATAAAGGGAGTTATGGTCACCTTTGAGGCTTCTTTCTTGCTACAGAAACAGAATACTTGGCCTTAGGTTCACTAATCCTTGGTGCAGCTGCTACAAACAAGATGATTCTAATTAAAGATTTTAATTCAACCATTGATTTATTTAATAATCCTTTAGACGAGCAAAAAAACATTTAATTTGTACCACCAACAACCTACCAACAACCTACTGACAGCCTACCAACAACCTACT